GAGGCAGAGGAATCGGAAGATTTACGGGGCGGATGGAGGAGGCTGCAATGGAGGGAAACCCTGAGGGTGGGGCACTGGGAAGGAAGGGGTGTTGTAGGAGGGGAGACTGGGGGAGCCCTGATCTCCTCTGACACCCCAGTTGTTGCCCATACCCTGCACTCCGCCAGCTCCTGCCCTGAGCCTCCTCCAGCGCCTTAACTCCTTCCTGGTCCCACACTCCCATCTCCTGCCCCCAGCCGCTCCTGCAGTGCAAACCCTTGGCCTCAGCCTGGAGCCCCTCCAGCATCCCTAGTTCCTCATCTCCAGCCCCACTGTAGACCCCCACATCCCCAGTCGGAGACCTCAGTCCCTCCTATGCCCATATCCTGTGGGCTGTGGTTGAGGCTAGGGCTGGGGGTGGGGCTGGCTTTACATTGTAATAAATGGACTGAGGTTCTCCCAGCATGGCAGAACCCAGAGCATCTGACTCCGGGGAAGTGACATGGAGCCAGGTCCCTTCTGAAACTTCCCCCCTCTCCCTCTTGCCCTGGCAGGCTAAGGAATCGCGTCCCCGTTTCGCTCCAGAGCATCCCGTCTTACAGAGACAGGGCTGGGAATGGCTGGGATGGAGCCAGCTCAGGTAGGGGATTTTCAGGGAGCTGCGGGGGGTGAGGGGGATGCAGGAAACACTCAGGGAGGAAGGGAGGGCTACTGGGTGATACACCTGCTGGGATATGAGCAGCCTGGGCCAGATTTTCGGGACAGGCCCCTTGGCAGGGCTGCTGGGGACGTTCCCCTGTTGCTGGGCCAGGACACACCCCACGGGGCAGGGCTGAGCAGACTCCCAGTGGCGGAGCCTGACCCCACTGGCCGGAGGCTGCTGGTCCCTGTCCCTGTGCCCAGCTCAGAGCTCTGCTTCCCGGAGCAGCCTGTGGCCGGCAGCCATGTGGGAAATGAGAAGCTCCTGCCCTGCTCTGTCTGCTGGGGGCAAGGAGCTCTCCCCTTCTCCCACCCCCTCCTGGCTGCTCTGAGCGGGAGGGGGGAATTCCGCTGTTGTGGGCCCCTCCCCTGTGAATAGCGGGATTGTGGGGTAGGGCAGCCGGTGCTGAGTGGGGGACTTTGGCTGTTCCAGGTGCTGGTGACCTTCGAGGAGGTGGCTGTGTATTTCACCCAGGGGCAGGGGGCTCTGCTGGGCCCCGCTCAGAGAGCCCTCTACAGGGATGTCATGCGGGAGAACTATGAGATGGTGACCTCGCTGGGTAAGAGCTGCTCAGGATTCCCTGTTCCAAAGCCTGACCTGGTCACCCGGCTGGAACGAGGGGAAGAGCTGTGGGTCCCGGATTGCCAAGCTAGTGAGGAAGGAGGCATCTGCAGAGGTGAGGAACAAGGGAAACTGAGTCATAAATGCCTGGAAGTGAGGGGAAGCTCAGTGTCCTAAAATGTCCTGTGAGCAAGTGTTACCATGGGGTATGCTTGTTTATTGGGGTTTCACTTCTGAAGAGGGTGGGGGTGATAACTCTGTCAATGTGCTGCTTTTGTTACTTGT